CCAGGTGACTCTGGCTGTTGGCACCCCTGAACTCAATGCTCCAGATCCTCCTCCTGGCAATATCCTCTCTGAGTTATGTAGTTCAAGCTTTTGATCACCACAGCAGAATCTCTCCTCCGGACTACAGTTCCCACACTGCATTGCTATCTGATTCAGTCTATGGAACTCTTAAGTGTGTACAGTGGCATATTTTAATTGCAGTCTATGGGTGGATGTACCTAACAGCTGCGGGTCCTGGGAAAGTTTTTATGGAGGCTTTGAATGCCGTTTGGCCCTCTTACAGCCCTCTGTATGAGCCCTATAATGCCTAAAAATGCAGATCTGACCGTGTCAGTGTGAATGAGTCTTTGGTGGTGATGGGTGAGTGACACCTGTGCACTTACATGTAGATTACGCCCCCGTTCGCAGTGATGCAGCTTTTCATGCGATTTGACTGTTCGTTGGAGTCACACAGATTTCAAAACAAGTTCCTTCACTACTTTTGCCGATTTCAGATGCGACTGGCATAGACATTTGTGCACGAAGTCGCACAGATGTCTATGAAGTCGCACTGCCATCCAACTTTGAAATCGCGTGACTTCAAGTGAAGTTGCATGATTTCAAAGTCAGATCTGTGTGAACCCGGGGCATACAGTGGGGCAAAAAAGTATTTAGTCAGCCACCAATTGTGCAAGTTCTCCCACTTAAAAAGATGAGAGAGGCCTGTAATTAGCATCATAGGTAGACCTCAACTATGAGAGACAAAATGAGAAAAAAAATCCAGACAATCACATTGGCTGATTTGGAAAGAATTTATTTGCAAATTATGGTGGAAATTAAGTATTTGGTCACCTACAAACAAGCAAGATTTCTGGCTCTCACAGACCTGTACCTTCTTCTTTAAGAGGCTCCTCTGTCCTGCACTCATTACCTGTATCAATGGCACCTGTTTGAACTTGTTATCAGTATAAAAGACGCCTGTCCACAACCTTAAACAGTCACACTCCAAACTCCACTATGGTGAAGACCAAAGAGCTGTCGAAGGGCACCAGAAACAAAATTGTAGACCTGTACCAGGCTGGGAAGACTGAATCTGCAATAGGCAAGCAGCTTGGTGTGAACAAATCAACTGTGGGAGCAATAATTAGAAAATGGAAGATATACAGGACCACTGATTATCTCCCTCGATCTGGGACTCCACGCAAGATCTCACCCTATGGGTCAAAATGATCACAATAATGGTGTGCAAAAATCCCAGGACCACACAGGGGGGGACCTAGTGAATAACCTGCAGAGAGCTGGGACCAACGTAACAAAGGCTACCATCAGTAACACACTACGCCGCCAGGGACTCAGATCCTGCAGTGCCAGTTGTGTCCCCCTGCTTAAGCCAATACATGTCCGGGCCCATCTGAAGTTTGCTAGAGAGCATTTGGATGATCCAGAAGAGGATTGGGAGAATGTCATATGGTCAGATGAAACCAAAATAGAACTGTTTGGTAGAAACACAACTCGTCGTGTTTGGAGGAGAGAGAATGCTGAGTTGCATCCAAAGAACACCATACCTACTGTGAAGCATGGGGGTGGCAACATCATGCTTTGGGGCTGTTGCTCCGCAAAGGGACCAGGATGACTGATCCATGTACAGGACAGAATGGATGGAGCCATGTATCATGAGATTTTGAGTGCAAACATCCTTCCATCAGCAAGGGCAGTGAAGATGAAACGTGGCTAGGTCTTCCAACATGACAATGATCCCAAACATACCGCCTGGGCAACGAAGGAGTGGCTTCGTAAGAAGCATTTCGAGGTCCTGGAGTGGCCTAGCCAGTCTCCAGATCTCAACCCCATAGAAAACCTTTGGAGGGAGTTGAAAGTCTGTGTTGCCCAGCGACAGCCCCAAAACATCACTGCTCTAGAGGAGATCTGCATGGAGGAATGGGCCAACATACCAGCAACAGTGTGTGCCAACCTTGTGAAGACTTACAGGAAACGTTTGACCTCTGTCATTGCCAACAATGGATATATAACAAAGTATTCAGATGAACTTTTGATATTGACCACATTTTCCACCATAATTTGCAAATAAATTCTTTCCAAATCAGCCAATGTGATTGTCTGGATTTGTTTTTCTAATTTTGTCTCTCATAGTTGAGGTCTACCTAGGATGCCAATTACAGGCCTCTCTCATCTTTTTAAGTGGGAGAACTTGCACAATTGGTGGCTGACTAAATACTTTTTTGCCCCACTGTATATGGCTATGAGTGTAGCAGTCTGTTATTAGAGCTCTCTGTTGTCACTGTGAAACATAACTGCTACTTCTGTAATGTAGCAAAAGAAGATTGTGACCTGTATGTGAACATGGAGGAGGCAGAGTGCAGATCAGAGTAAGGGCCAATTCACACTAGTGTGTTTTAGCACAGTTGTAAAAAGCAGATCAACGAAAGAACATCTGAAAAAACAATAATTTCCAATGTGTTCTCTTCCCACTATAACGTTGCATTGCGCTGTGCTAAAATGTAGGTCAACGGACATCAAAATGTATGTCAATGGACGTCAGCGTGCATTAAAACACAACTAAGTGCTCGGTCATATCGCAGTGACTTGTCATGCGATTTGATTGTTTCAAGTGCAATAAATGTACCAAAACACACATTCGAATAAAGGGCAAAGCTCAATGCCAAAAGTGTATTTCTTTGTGCGTTTGTCGTGCATTGGGGAGCCTATTGAAATGAATGGGATTTCCTATGTGCTTAGTGCAAAAATGTGAAAATGAGTGTGCAAAAATATGCAATGCTAGGTGTGAGACCAGCTTAATAGATCAGAAAAATAGACATAGTAATGATCAGAGTAATAGATCAGAGTACTAATAATCAGAGTAATAGATCAGAGTAGTAGTAATCAGAATAACAAATCAAAGTAGTGGTGATCAGAGTAATAGATCTGAGTAGTGGTGATCACAGTAATAGATCAGATGAGTGGTGATCATAGTAATAGATCAGAGTAGTAGTGATCAGAGTAATAGATCAGAGTAGTAGTGATCAGAGTAATAGATCTGAGTAGTGGTGATCATAGTAATAGATCAGTAGTGGTGATCATAGTAATAGATCAGAGGAGTAGTGATCAGAGTAATAGATGAGAGTAGTAGTAATCAGAGTAATAGATCTGAGTAGTGGTGATCATAGTAATAGATCAGAGTAGTAGTGATCATAGTAATAGATCTGAGTAGTGGTGATCAGAGGAGTGGTGATCATAGTAATAGATCAGAGGAGTAGTGATCAGAGTAATAGATCTGAGTAGTGGTGATCATAGTAATAGATCAGAGGAGTAGTGATAATAGTAATAGATCTGAGTAGTGGTGATCATAGTAATAGATCAGAGGAGTAGTGATCAGAGTAATAGATCAGAGTAGTAGTAATCAGAGTAATAGATCTGAGTAGTGGTGATCAGAGTAATAGATCTGAGTAGTGGTGATCAGAGTAATAGATCTGAGTAGTGGTGATCAGAGTAGTGGTGATCATAGTAATAGATCAGAGGAGTAGTGATCAGAGTAATAGATCAGAGGAGTGGTGATCAGAGTAATAGATCAGAGAATAGTGGTGATCGGAGTAATAGATAAGAGGAGTAGTGATCGGAGTAATAGATCACAGTAGTAGTGATCATAGTGATCATAGTAATAAAATCTGAGTAGAGAAGTAGTGATCATAGTAATAGATCAGATTAGTAGTGATCGGAGTAATAGATCTGAGTAGTGGTGATCATAGTAATAGATCAGAAGAGCGTGGTGATCGGAGTAATAGATCTGAGTAGTGGTGATCATAGTAATAGATCAGAGGAGTGGTGATCGGAGTAATAGATCAGAGTAGTGGTGATCAGAGTAATAGATCAGAGGAGTGTGGTAGTGGTGATCGGAGTAGTAGTGTGATCAGTAGTAGTAGATAGGAGTAATAGATCTGAGTAGTGGTGATCATAGTAATAGATCAGAGTAGTGATCGGAGTAATAGATCTGAGTAGTGGTGATCATAGTAATAGATCAGAGGAGTGGTGATCGGAGTAATAGATCTGAGTAGTGGTGATCATAGTAATAGATCAGAGTAGTAATCGGAGTAATAGATCTGAGTAGTGGTGATCACAGTAATAGATCAGAGGAGTGGTGATCGGAGTAATAGATCTGAGTAGTGGTGATCACAGTAATAGATCAGAGGAGCGGTGATCGGAGTATTAGATCTGAGTAGTGGTGATCACAGTAATAGATCAGAGGAGCGGTGATCAGAGTAATAGATCAGAGTAGTGATCGGAGTAATAGATCTGAGTAGTGGTGATCAGAGTAATAGATCAGAGTAGTGATCGGAGTAATAGATCTGAGTAGTGGTGATCATGGTAATAGATCAGAGGAGTGATCGGAGTAATAGATCTGAATAGTGGTGATCACGGTAATAGATCAGAGGAGTGGTGATCGGAGTAATAGATCTGAATAGTGGTGATCACGGTAATAGATCAGAGGAGTGGTGATCGGAGTAATAGATCTGAATAGTGGTGATCACGGTAATAGATCAGAGGAGTGGTGATCGGAGTAATAGATCTGAATAGTGGTGATCACGGTAATAGATCAGAGGAGTGGTGATCGGAGTAATAGATCTGAGTAGTGGTGATCATAGTAATAGATCAGAGGAGTAGGTGATCGGAGTAATAGATCTGAATAGTGGTGATCATAGTAAAAGATCAGAGGAGTAGTGATCGGAGTAATAGATCAGAGGAGTAGTGATCGAGTAATAGATCAGAGGAGTAGTGATCGGAGTAATAGATCAGAGGAGTAGTGATCAGAGGAGTAGATCGGAGTAATGTTTGTAGTCTGGAGAAGTATGTGCAGAGTCTGGGAGGAGATGTCAGTGCCCCCTTCCTCCTCCTCCTTTTCGGCGGAGGGAATTCCCTCCTCCCCTCCCCTCTCTGGGCGGTGCCCTGTCACTGTACTCTTTCTTGTCTTTCTACATTTTTGGGTTGTCGGCCTGAGCTCTTCCTGATCCCAGATCAGCGATCCCCAGAGAGATCCGGAGATGTATGAGCTGGTCAGGAGGTCGTTGCTGGGTCGGGCGATGTGTGAAGGATCGGACACTCCGTCCAAGTACGCCGAGCTCTTCCGGAAACTAGACATCAATCAGGATGGGAAGGTGGACATCCTGGAGTGCAGCAGGGGCTCCAAGCCTTGGGGTATGGCCGTGTAGTCCCCCGGAGCCGAGGAGGTAATGGCAGTTTTGGATCATCATCTGTATGCTGGGGTGGTGAGCCTCTGCAATAGGGACAGCATTCCCCATCGGAGTAATAGATCCATCCACTGGTGACAACTCTGCACTGGAGGCTGTGTAATGTGTGTGTCTCCCTCTCAGTAATAGATATATATAGCGGTATATCAGATAATAGATAGATACAGTCATGGCCGAAATTGTTGGCACCCTTGATATTTTTCCTGAAAATCAAGTATTTCACACAAAAAAGTATTGCATTAACACATGTTTTGCTATACCATGTTTATTCCCTTTGTATGTATTGGAACAAATATAAAACAGAGGCAGAAAAGCAAATATGACATAATGTCACACAAAACCCCAAAAATGGGCTGGACAAAAGTATTGGCACCCTTAACTTAATATTTGGTTGCACACCCTTTGGAAAACATAACTGAAATCAGTCGCTTCCTATAACCATCAATAAGCTTCTGACACCTCTCACCCGGAATTTTGGACCACTCTTCCTTTGCAAACAGCTCCAGGTCTCTCTTATTGGAAGGACACCTTTTCCCAACAGCAATTTTAAGATCTCTCCACAGGTGTTCAATGGGATTTAGATCTGGGCTCATTGCTGGCCACTTCAGAACTCTCCAGCGCTTCTTTGCCATCCATTTCTGAGTGCTTTTTGACGTATGTTTGGGGTCATTGTCCTGCTGGAAGACCCAGGATCTTGGACGCAAACCCAGCTTTCTGACACTGGGCCCTACAGTGCGACCCAAAATCCTTTGGTAATCCTCAGATTTCATGATGCCTTGCACACAGTCAAGGCACCCAGTGCCAGAGGCAGCAAAACAACCCCAAAACATCATTGAACCTCCACCATATTTTACCGTAGGTACTGTGTTTTGTTCTTTGTAGGCCTCATTCCGTTTTCGGTAAACAGTAGAATGATGTGCTTTACCGAAAAGCTCTATCTTGGTCTCATCTGTCCACAAGACGTTTTCCCAGAAGGCTTTTGGCTTACTCAAGTACATTTTGGCAAACTGTAGTCTTGCTTTTTTATGTCTCTGTGTCAGCAGTGGGGTCCTCCTGGGTCTCCTGCCATAGCGTTTCATTTCATTTAAATGTCGACGGATAGTTCGCGCTGACACTGATGCTCCCTGAGCCTGCAGGACAGCTTGAATGTCTTTGGAACATGTTTGGGGCTGCTTATCCACCATCCGGACTATTCTGCGTTGCAATCTTTCATCAATTTTCCTCATCCGTCCACGACCAGGGAGATTAGCTACATGCCATGGGTTGCAAACTTCTTGATAATGTTGCGCACTGTGGACAAAGGCAAATCTAGTTCTCTGGAGATGGACTTGTAACCTTGAGATTGTTGATATTTTGCCACAATTTTGGTTCTGGAGAAGGTCCTCAGACAGTTCTCGTCTCCTCTTTCTGTTGTCCTTTGCTTAGTGTGGCACAGACAGACACACAATGCAAAGGTTAAGTGAATGTCTCTCCTTTTTATCTGCTTTCAGGTGTGATTTCTATATTGCCCACACCTGTTACTTGCCCCAGGTGAGTTTACAGGAGCATCACATGCTTGTAACATTCTTATTTATCCGCAGTTGTGAAAGGGTGCCAATACTTTTGTCCAGCCCATTTTTGGAGGTTTGTGTGACATTATGTGCAATTTGGGCTTTCTTTCCTCCCTTTTTTTGTTTTGTCCCAATACACACAAAGGGAATAAAACATGTGTATAGCAAAACATGTGTTAATGCAATACGTTTCGGGAGAGCATACCCATGATTTCCTGGAGAAATATCAAGGGTGCCAACAATTGTGTGTCCATGACTGTCACTATATATATATATATATATATATATATATATATAAATGACTTGTCATTATGCCAGGCCCGGGGTGGCTGGTGATTGTCACCGACATGGTGTTGGTCAGACCCCAGTAATGATCGGTATATGAGTCGCTATGGTATATGAGTGTATACTATGTATGTCAGTAGACAATTGGCGGAGTGCCAGCGCTGAGTTATAATGGGGATTGTCAAATGATTCAGATAACTAAGTTGGTTATTTATGTCTGTGAAGGTTCTCCTCCATATCTCATGATAGTCGCACGCAACTGGATTTACAGAACAAATCCATCTGTATGTCGCTGACTAAATCTGGCCATACATTGCAAAATCTGTCCAATTCCTGAGCAATCATCTGAAATATGCTCAGTGGACTGCCCTGCTGGGCCCACTCCATTCAATAAAGTTCCATATTTCGTTGACTTTTGTCAAAGGAAACTGCTGGGAGATTTTTGTCTGAACAATGGTTACATCCAAGTGGAGGCAGCCGCTGTATGGTTAGCATTACCGCCTGGCAGTACTAGGGTCGTTGGTTCGAATCCCAGCGACGGCACCTCCTGCCTGGAGTTTGCATGTTCTCCCTGTGCCTGCGTGGGTTTCCTCTGGGTACTCCGGTTTCCTCCCACATGCTGGTAGGTTAATATTGGATCCTGTCTAAATTGTCCCTAGTATGTATAAATGCGATTTAGGGACCTTAGATTGTATACCCCTTGAGGATTGGGGACTGATGTGAATGTACATATATTACACATTATATATATATATATATATATATATATATATATATATATATAAAGCGCTGTGTAAATTGACAGTGCTATATAAGTACCTGAAATAAATCTTGACAGCTGTCAGAATACAATATCCACAGAGGGAGATTTGTTCATTTGCACTGTATAGCATGAATCAAGGAGTTGATTTGTTTTTGTTTTTTTTTTGTTCTGCTCCCAGCTTGAATGAAAATCGATGTGCATGACCATCCTGAGCTAGTATGTTCTACTAATAAGACCCATCTAAAGCTGGACGTACACTGATTGATTTTTTACATTTAGCCTGCAGGCAGAACAAAAGAAAACTAACCAGTTCTTTCATCCATGCTGAGCAGGGCGGATGGACAAACCTGCAGTGCTGGCTATTGCTGTCAGAAGACTCCTACACAAAACTACTGTCCAGTTTTTTGCTTGGCTCCATTGATCTTTCAATTGAAGGAAGTTGGCAGGAAGGTGACCACAGAGCCACCCAGGAAAAAAATTTCATCCAGTCCATCATGCACCATCCAAAAACTTTTAGCTGTAAAAAAAGTCTGACTGATTCTGTCCCCGCCAGCTGTCAAAATACCCAAACAGCAACTGCATCTGATTGGATGCAGCCACTGTTCAATTGACCATTCTCGCATGGCTCCTTTTGATTTTTTTTTTTTTTTTTTTACAGGAACCAGCCCAAATTTGTATGGCCAGGCCAGCTTTACACTGTGCCCACAATACTTCTGGCTACCTGTCACTGTGAATTTATGGACTCATGCACACCAGTGTAATCGGGGCAGATAACATGCGGCTACATTTTGGCACCTGGGAGCCACAGGGTGTTGCATAGCTGCCTATACAGATGAATTACAGGATACTGATCTATGCCGCTCCAAGCAGCAACATACATATGCCTTTGGGCTTCTGCTCCTGGACATGGACTGTCTGGGTCCAGGGGTGTATGTCCATATACACGTGTACCTTCAGAACTGTGTGTATATCCATGCACAGCTATATCCTGTCATTGTTTGTATAGATAGCATACATCTGTGGCTCTCAGGCACCAGAACCTGGTTGTAGTTTATGTTCTATGCATCATCGTGCCTACAGCATGCTAGAGTTAAAGTGTAAGTTCACATTTTCACAAAAAAATGAAAAGTTGAATACCCAAAACCTGCACCCCCCCCCCCCCCCCCCCCCCCCCCCCCATCCCACAGAATTTACCTCTGTGGTCCAAGGATTTGTAATCCCCTCTCTTTTCGCTATTCTTTCTGCAGGACTTCCAGGATGGGTCAGAGCGATTCTGATTGGTCAGTGCCAGCATAGAACATTATTCTGATCCATCCTGGAAGCGCTGCATAAAGAAGTGGAAGTAGAGAAGGGATTTTAAATCCCTGAACCGCTACTCCAGCTGCATGGGCACTGACAGCTCATCACCCACAGAGGTAAGTCTGGGAAGGGGGGAGAAGAGGGTGTAGGGAAGGTGAAGGGTGTTCGTTCACCTTTTTCATTTCTTCTGAAAAGCTAAACTTACCCTTTAACTACTTCCGGATTGCAATATGTAATTATGTGTCAGCGATTTGGAAGCTTATACCAGGCTGATAGGTTTTTTTTTTTTTTTTTTTTACTCAGCTGGCAATTCTGTTTTTTGTAGAAGCATTGTCTACTTGTTCCACCTGTCCCCTAGATTTGTTCAAAATGTTGTAAATCTTATATTAGTCAACACACTATTCACTTTTTACTGACTTTTTGTTTAATAGACATGCAATCCCCATTGAGCTCTTGCTTTACTCCTAGTTATTCTAGCCTGGTCTCAGCTGTTCTATCTCGTCTTGTCAGCAGTTCCTGTTAATTGTCTTGCAGAATCAATATCTATAGGGAGTGGGGAGGAGGGGCACATGGATGTGACTTTGTTCACTTTTTTTGAACTTGACAAGCCCTAAAAAAAGACACATTGCGTGAAGAGGTACGTTTGTCATTTTTTAGTGGTGCAAACTTCTCATATCTTTTTGCAGTTACTAAGGAAAGTTTTTTTGATGAATTAAAAACTTTAACCTCATAAGGACCGCTCGCAGTACAATTACTGCTGCAGGGCGGCCCCTGTGCGCAGGATCACGTGTGTATATATACGTGATTTACCAAAGACATGTAGCAGAATACATTTTGGCCTAAATTCATGACTAACTTTGAGTTTACTGTATATATTTTTTTATAGCCGAAAGTAAAAATATCATTTTTTTCAAAAATTTTCGGTCTTTTTTTGTTTATAGTGAAAAAAGTAAAAAGCGCATAGGTGATCAAATACCACCAAAAGAAAACTCTATTTGTGTGAAAAAAAATTTCGTTTGGGTACAGTATTGCATGACTGCACAATTACCAGTTGAAATATTGCAACGCCGAATAGCAAAGAA